TGTGATTTAACACCATTAGATTTCTTTTTATGGGGTTATTTGAAATCACAGGTCTATGTCAACAAGCCCACAACCACCCGTGCATTAAAGGAGGAGATTCAACGCTGCATCAACGAAATTCAGCCACATTTATGCAAAATGGTCATGGAAAATTTCGACAAACGAGTGCGTATGTGCATGCAAAGCCGTGGAGGCCATTTGCCCGATGTGTTATTCCACAAATAACCCTATCCTATGTATTGTACTTTATGATTAAATAAAAAAATAACAATCAAAAGACTAAAAACTGTGTTTTCTATTTAATTCAAATCTTGCGTTAATTTTGGGACACCCTTTATAAGCTACAGGTATGTGATTATTATTTTGTATATTTCTTTTATATACATTTGATTATAATGACACATTTTGTTTTATTCGATATCAATATATACGGGTTTTCAATCTGTATTTTTTTGAATTGAAAATGAAAGGTTGAAGCAAGTTGTTACTTCAAACACAAAGAGCAAGAGGTTTTGATAAAACTTAAACGAGATAAGGCACACTAAGAGCCTAAGGTTTTAAAATGTTAATGTAGCGACAAATATACGACGTAACGTCTCGGAGTCTATGAGCCGAAACTAGAGAATATATTAGGGCAATCAAACTTCAATAATTACATCCAAATCAGAACGCAAATTATGTATAAAGAAATTGCGATGGATATAGAGTGCATGCAAGCATACATGGTATAAACGTTATTTTTCGATTATTACGATGATGTCAAAGCTTCAATAGATAATTCATGACTTAAGACTTAAAATTTCTCAAAGTGGATCGTCATCGTCCACCAGCAGGGTGTCCTGTGAAATCTGACTAATCCATTCAAAGATAACTCCAGGACATTCTAGTTAAAAAATCCTAATTTTTTCAGGATATATCCATTGATTAATTCTATTACTTGATTAATTTTAATTGATTTGCACAGTTATATGCTTTGTACTATCAAGTTAGAAGTATTAAGTTAGGATACTACTACATGGGCTGAAAAGTCCCGGGATTTTTAATGAAAACAAGCGTTTTTTGGGCAAAGTTATATTTATTCCTCAACATAGTTGCCTTCGAGGGCGATACACTTGGTATAGCGATTTTCCAACATTTTGATGCCCTTTCTGTAGTACGAAACGTCCAAGCCTTCGAAATACTCCTCGGTTTCCGCGATGACTTCCTCATTCGATCTGAATCTCTTTCCCTGGAGCCACCGCTTGAGGTTTGGGAACAGATATTATAGTCGCTGGGGGCCAAGTCTGGAGAATACGGTTGGTGAGCAACCAATTCGAATTGAAATTGGTCTAATTTGGCCATTGCTTTCAAGGACGGTGCGTTATCGTGATGGTACAGAACTTTTTTCTTCGCCATATGGAGCCGTTTTTTCTTTATTTCGTCGTTCAGTTTGTCCAATAACGTTGCACAATATTCTCCTGTGACTGTTCTTCCCTTCTGAAGGTAATCGATGAAGATTATGCCATGCGCATCCCAAAGAACGGAGGCCATAACCTTCCCGGTCGAGCGTTGGTTTTTTGGTGTCTTTGGTCGGCTTTCGTGGCTTTCCAGCCACTCTGCAGACTGCCTATTGGACTCAGGCGTATGGTAATGGACCCACGTTTCATCCATTGTCACAAAACATCGAAAAAAGTCCGCTCGATTACGCTGCAACAACGCCAAACCGGCCGTTGAATCATCAACGCGCTGCTGTTTTTGGTCGACGGTCAGCAAACGCGGCACCCATCGCGCAGATAGCTTTTTCATCTCCAAAAGATCGTGCAAAATGTATCCCGCCCGTTCTTTTGAGATGCCCACGGCTTCAGCTAACTCGCGCAACTTCACTTTACGATCACTCAAAACGATTCGATGCACTTGCTTTATGATTTCCGCATTCGTAGCCTCTTTTGGCCTTCCAGAGCGAGGTGCGTCTTCGGTGCTTGTACGACCCATTTTAAATTCACTAAACCACTGATAAACTGTTGTTCTCGAAGGAACAGATGTGGGATAACATTTCTGCAACCATTGCAATGATTGTTCAGAAGTTTTTCCCATCAAAAAACAATGTTTGATCAAGATGCGATATTCCATTTTTCCATTTTTTTTACGAAGGCGAAAGTAGCGTCATTAAAACGACTGTAAACGAATGGACGAAATGTCATGAAACTTCATACATAAACTAGAGACAGATGAGCCTCTCGAAATGAGTCATGTTCATTTTCTAGTGGCGCCACTTATTGAAAAATCCCGGGACTTTCCATGTAGTATATGACATGATTTAAAATGATAACAAATTTGGAATAAATTCTTTCTTTTTTCGCAATTTAATTTTAATTTTTTTAAATAAAAGAATAAAAAATTCTAGGTCAGCCCTAAAATTCCAGAGGTTTTTTTAAGAACTTTCCAAAATATATAAAATTCCAGTATAATTCCAGAATTCAAGGATATTCAAGGATCACTAGACTGACCAGTGAGACTCGAGGAAATCTACAGATATTGCTAGTCCTGGGGGCACGTTCGTCCGTGAGTTAAAAAAGTTTGGGAAACTATGTTACATAAGATTAATATGCTAAAGATATCCAAATCCCCCTATGAGATGAATTAATTTAGAGACGTGAGCTCAATTGGCGTTCAGCGGGCAAGTAGAAGCACCAAATTGACAATGGTTGTGGAATTTCCATAAATCAGCTGACCTCGAAGAGTTAAGTCCGAAAAGGATAGAGATGCTTATTAACTTCGATATCCAAAAGCTAGAGAATAGAAGTCTCAAAGGAAAGTGCACGGTACTAAGTGCGAAATTCGTACCAATAATGCTGAATGTTAGAATGATAATCGAATATGATAATGGCCGGTCTAGTTGATGTCGTTGTTAATAGCATAGGTGGTCTTCGTTATCACTACATGAACGAATAGTAATATAAAATTGATCCTACCATATAATGGCGTGATAATACAATAATGCTATAATTATAATAATATAGCTCTTTGGATTTGTTTTTTACCTCTACAATCTCGGTGAAATAAAAAAATTGGAAAAATCCGCCTCTACTAATGTAGGGCAGCGCTCTGACACTGACAATTTTAAGAATCTCGCAATTGCAAAGATTCATTGAGAAACGACGAAAGGCGTAACTTTGAACAAAGATTTGTATCGCGTTATACACACACTTTCCTGAGACATGCCCCATCCGTTCAAAAAAATAAACCACCGGCAAAGCGCATGGCCGTCTTAGAAAACTCTTGGTGAGGCAATAAGATGTGTAATGTCGTGTCATTGCGTAAGAGAAAACAGACTCTTTTGGGGAACTCAGTAATCTTACAAGCGCAAGTTTGGACGTGAAGTGAAATTGATGAATGCCGACTGCAGTCCTCTTTAATATCAAATCCTGTTAGAAGCTCGTATTAAAGCGGCTACTATTTGCGAACTGTTCATAATAGCATGACGAGAGGCTTCCCACTTAGACAATGTATCCTTATAGCTGTTTGAGATACAATTATCTGATCTTTATTCCATAACTGGAATCTGTAGCAAAATCAGCATCGTCCCGAAAACAATTAATTAAGTTGATAACTATTTTATCATTTGACTCGGCCAGGCCAATTTTTGTGCCACGATGGATTTTGAGCAACTCGCGCCAGTATCTACACTGTTAGAATACCGAAGCCCTGATGAAAGTGGCTATTCGAGTTTCTGAAAGAATTGAGTAAGGGCCATTTGCCATTTCTGTGATTTAATATAGAGAGGATGTATGGATGTCTTTCACAAGCTCAAGATGAATTTTTTTATTGAAGAATTTTCAATAATAAGGCACAGTGAGAGAGGAATTGGTCCTTGGACGGTTCTTGTAAAACAGTTGCTTTCTTGAGATATAGACATCTTACCTGAGGTATCAAATACAATGTTCACCTTTCATTGAATGGAAGCATCGGTCTCTGGACTCTGATTGAGTGTGAAGTGAGTTATGCTTTTCAGATAGCAACGTGTCTATGGTAGCTTGTTATTGGCATGTTGCATTACTTAGTATGCCTTACTAAATATTTATTGCTACTAGAATTGCAGCAACCTTATTGGACATAATTGGTAACTTAACGCCTCCATATAAAAATGTTGCGTAGCAATTTGCCAGCAATTTGTCGACAACTTTGAAATCGTCATTATATTGCCATAATAATAGCAGCATCATACAATGCTGTTCTATTGCCGATAAAGCAAGATAACATTGATGCAGCCGTCTTGCTGTTACACTGATGGCAATACCTGTTGTTGTCTGCCTATTGCTACAATGTCGGTATATTCAAAAATTGTTGAAGATAAATCCACAACAAGTTGCCAGCATTATAAGCAATCACCGATTTGTATGATTTTGCCGAAACGCTCTGCTATTTGGATCCCTTATCCTTCAGGATCTACATCTTATGCTTAGATGAATCTAAAATGGGCATCATCTGTAATGAGCCTCTTTCTGAATGGAAGCTGGTGCCATCAGGATTTCAAAAAGATATCGTGGATGATTGAAAACCTTCGGCGAGATTCGAGGTTAGCACCTGGGTATCTGAGGGTAAGTTTAGATTTAAAAAATCCGACTGTTCAGTTGTGGGAACAGAAACCATCTTTCACTCTACTCGACCGCTAGGCGCTCAGCGATCTATATTATAAGACGACAAGGAATCCTTACCTTGATTCTTAAAGGGCGCTGGCGCAGATGATTGAGAAAAACAGCGGATATTTAGCAAAGGAAACCATCGATCACGTTCTTTCTTTTGTCGAAATTTTTCCCGCTTCTGGTGGGAAGAGGGATTGCATCCTTGGCTGTTGGTCGTCTCCAAAGAGTGCTGATGTCCGCTCTGCGGGAGGAGGAGCCACGTTCTACTCCATTCGATCGCTAAAGTAATCGGCGAGAGGAACGCACTTGGTAACCCTCCTAATATTATCTCTTATTTCAAAGTAACTAGTGTACTATGAAATTTTGATGGTAATTATCAAAAAATTATAATAAACTGTGAAGTATTATAATTTTTGACATTGATAGTTATTGCTTTATACTTAATAATAAATATCATTATATAGATAGTAAACTATAAGTCAGAATGATAGTACTAACAAAATTGATGGTAACTAGAAATCTTTTCATAGTTGCTATAAAATTTTTGATAGTTGCTATCTTACATTTAATAATAAAACATTTTGTAGTTATTAAATTGTTGATAATACATTACCATTTTCATGTTTATTATCAAATGTTGAAAATAGTAACTGTCTCATACTTGATAATAACCTTATTTACAATTAGACATTTGATAATCGATCATAATAATAAACTGTAAATCATTGATAGTTATTATCTTATACTTGATAAATATCACTACGTTAATAATAAACTGAGTGATAATGATAGTACTAATAATAATTGATAGTAACTACAAATCTTTTCATAGTTGCTTATGAAACTTTTGATAATTACTACCTTATACATAAATAATAATTATTAAACACTCGAGAAAAAATGTTTTATATAAAATATTATATAAAACCTATATATATATTACATGTTTTATATGTAATTTTTCCTTTCTTACTAAAGGTAGAGGCGATTTCTTCTGTGTCGCCATACTCGTATTAGTAAATTGACGTATTCTTTCCAGGAACTCGTCGACTGTTTCAACGTTGATTGCCGCAGCAGTATTTCTAACAGAGAAATTATTAGTTTCTCCAACTAATAAACTGATAATATTTTCCTGTTCAAGCTGTAAAGGTTGAAGTATCTTAATCTTCTTTGCAGCATATTCCATAAAACTTTTCTTAGATAAATTTCAACGACAGGCGTCCGCTTTCTTCATCACCCTTGTAAAAGATACTCGTCGCCTGAATCTTTTAATGAGAGCTTCCCTGAAGACGAACCATGAATCCATTAGAGATCCATTGTCCATATCAAACCAATCTTTTGCTAGTTTCTGTAGCTTGTTGGTCGCAGCTTTAATAGTTTACACTGTCGTTAACCCCATGAACAGCAGTAGCGTGCTCGATTTTACGCAACCAATGATCCACGTTATCATCCTTTGAACCATAAAACACTGGTAATTGAAAAGCCAAAAGAGTAATAGCCCGTGCTGGTGGAACAGTAGCCAACAGTGGATAATATTGATGGACAGCAGAACGTTCATGATTTCTTCTACCGGAAGTCTCTTGCTTGAGACGTATGAAATTCATCTTGTGTGTCTACAGGAATTGAACACACTACACACTGCTCTTAGCTTCCGGATTACGATTACTACCGGATTCCAAATTCAATTAAATATCTGACGTAATATTAGTCGTCTGTCTGTCTCTTACTAACTGTTCAAGTAACCTTTGTTGCGCAAGTTGTTGTGCCATTTGTTGTTGCGCAATCTATCTCTATGTGAGCTCGAGTAACGCCTGTTCTATCGAGCTTTGCGTAATTGATGGTGACGGGCCCTGTGTCGTCCTCCCTTGAAAGGGTCCTGGCATAGTCGTATGTGTTTGTGCAGCATGCATCCTCTCACCATGGTCCGCAAGAGCGGACCAATACACTTTTCTCGGTCAGTCATAACGAGTAGATTAAGATCCATTAATTTCCTCTTGAAACCTCGTTAAACGAGAGAGCTTCTAACGATCCATGTCACATGTCGATCATGTGATATGTTGTATGGCGCAACTTTATCGAGACGAGTATCACGCCACGTGCACGTATACAGCCAATATCTTAATGGCGGCCGGACTTCCTGTAACCGACTCGTGTTCGAATCACTTTAATAGCGATATAGTCCTTCGTCGGTATTCCCGCATACGAAAGGAGGAACGTTTTTTTTCCGTATGACACTTAATTACGGTACGGCACAGCAGACGTGGATAGTTACTATCCTACTTCTAAGAAAATAGATGCTGTAAGACAGCAATACGATCACGTGAATAACTTCCGAAAACCGCTACGTTTCGAAGGGAAAGGAATGTAGTCAGGACAATCCGAAGGAGGGATAATCTAGGAAAGGGCGTATCGTTCACTAGTCGTGATATACGATGTTCATTATATGAGGCACACACTTTATTCAAAGTCTGGTAACGGATTATATCC